CTACTACTACTCTACTCTACTCTCTCTACTCTCTCTCTCTCTCTCTCTCTCTCTCTCTCTCTCTCTCTCTCTCTCTCTCTCTCTCTCTCTCTCTCTCTCTCTCTCTTTCCATTATTTTATTGTACCCTCCAGTAATCTGAATAAATAACTACAACTACGGACGTTTTCCACAAAAAAGATAAAATACCTTTAAAGATAACGATCTTCAAACCAACGCGACAAACTACGTTACGTGATATTTTCATATTTTTCATGCTCTCATCTCTTTTTCTCACTTTTAACATTTTTCTTTTCAACTTCTCGTGTCTTCAACCTTTGTTATCGAGAACGTTAGCTATCTCGCTTTGTAAATGTACTGTATGTAAGCATTCGGGGAAATCAGAATGTTCTCGCTGATACGTGAGAGAAGCGGCCAGACAGGTATGCTGTTGTACGTCATATATATATATATATATGAATATATATGAATATATATGTACATATATATACACGTATGGAATCTTATCTACGGTCGTGGATTATCGAATTTCCGAGCGTTAGATTAGATTTCTCGACGACCACGCGCGCTCAGCACACGGCTACGTTGGTTTCTGAAAATAAACGCATACGAGGATCCCGTCGTCGTCGTCATCGCCAGTACTCCTCCCAGCTTCGTGTATAACGTGTCGTGCCTCCGATGTACACGTGTACATAAGGTGTATGTACATAGTAATCTGAATGTACGTAATCTTGAAAAAATATCCGTTAATTTATCGAAATTATCTTAACGAGCGAATAGCTGCGAACATCCAGAAAGAGACAGAAGAAAGTAGAATTTTAATGGATTGTCTGACTAATTTGCAGTCATTCTTTTCCGTAACGAGGATGTCAAGAGAATTTGTGATCTATCGCAATTTTTTTTCCGTTTCCAACGTTAAATGTCTACGTGATTAAATCTCGAGTTAAAATCTCGTGGGAGTTCACTGTGAGATTAAAGGAAGATTGAATTATCGGTGCCTCGACATTGGTGCTTCGAGAAAAATTCAACTTGCGATTTCGAGGAGATTAAGAAAGGGACGATAAGCGTCGGGGGACGGAGAAGCAAAACACGCGGAAATTCAATTTTATTCATTACAGGGATAGGACTTAGGCAGGGTAAGAAACTCGTTTCATTCGATTTTCAATTATGATGTAGACTACATTTATGGGATTTAGATGCTGTGCTACTAGATGGAAAAGCTTCAAAAAGTTAAAATTACGACATTACAAACTTTATATATGAAATTTAACGAATATCTTGATTCTTTTGATTT